AAAGCTGTCATCATCAAGACAGTATGGTACTGGCACAAAAACAGATACATAGATCAATGGAACAGAATCGAGAGCCCAGAAATGGACCCTCAACTCTATGGTCAACTTATCTTTGACAAAGCAGGAAAGAATGTCCAATGGAAAAAAGACAGTCTCTTCAACAAATGGTGTTGGGAAAATTGGACAGCCACATGACGAAGAATGAAACTGGAGCATTTTCTCACACCACACACAAAAATAGACCCAAAATGATTGAAAGACCTAAATGTGAGTCAGGAGTCCATCAACATCCTAAAGGAGAACACAGGCAGCAACCTCTTCGACCTCAGCCGCAGCAACTTCTTTCTAGAAACATTGCCAAAGGGAAGGGAAGCAAGGGCAAAAATGAACTATTGGGACTTCAACAAGATAAAAAGCTTTTGCACAGCAAAGGAAACAGTCCACAACAGCAAAAGACACCGACAAAATGGGAGAAGATATTTGCAAATGACATATCAGATAAAGGGCTAGTATCCAAAATCTATAAAGAACTTATCAAACTCAACACCCAAAGAACAAATAATCCAATCAAGAAATGGGCAAAAGACATGAACAGACATTTTTCCAAAGAGGATATCCAAATGGCCAACAGACACATGAAAAAGTGCTCAACATTGCTCGGCTTCAGGGAAGTCCAAATCAAAACCTCATTGAGATACCACCTCACACCAGTCAGATTTGCTAAAATTAACAAGTCAGGAAACGACAGATGTTGGGAGGGATGTGGAGAAAGGGGAACCTTCCTACACTGTTGGTGGGAATGCAAGCTGGTGCAGCCATTCTGGAAAACAGTATGGAGGTTCCTCAAACAGTTGAAAATAGAGCTACCATACGATCCAGAAATTGCACTACTGGGTATTTACCACAAAGATACAAATGTAGGGATCCGAAGGGGTACGTGCACCCGATGTTTACAGCAGCAATGTCCACAATAGCCAAACTATGGGAAGAGCCAAGCTGTCCATCAACAGATGAATGGATAAAGAAGATGTGGTATACATATACAATGGAATATTATGCAGCCATCAAAAGGAATGAAATCTTGCCATTTGCAACGACGTGGATGGAACTGGAGGGCATTATGCTGAGCGAAATAAGTCAGTCAGGGAAAGACATGTATCATATGATCTCACTGATATGAGGAATTCTTAATCTCAGGAAACAAACTGAGGGTTGCTGGAGTGGTGGGGGTAGGAGGGATGGGGTGGCTGGGTGATAGACATTGGGGAGGGTGTGTGCTATTGAGTTCTGTGAATTGTGTAAGACTGTTGAATCACAGGCCTGTACCTCTGAAACAAATAATACATTATATGTTAAAAAAAAAATCTTATCTAATGGATATAAATGTATGTGATTAGAGAGCTAAATACCCAATTTTCTTTCATATCAAAGCATCAACTTTAACATCATTGCCTTGCTGTTACTTTCCTTATCTATCTGGCTGGTTGAGAGATAATGTCTTTTAATTAGTAAGATCAGAATTAGCACCCACTTTGGTTTTCTTGGGTCAATCCAGCAAATGTAAACAAAATGACTTTTGTTTACTAGATATATTTTGAACACAGAGTTTGATAATTTTCCTGATCTTACTGCTCTGTTTTCATACAGCTTTTCTATAGTGTAACTTAGATTTGTTTGTTTGTTTTTATTTTATTTTTCAATTGAAACTTTGTTTGATTTTTCTAATTTTTTCTCCATTACTGTTGCCCTGCTCTATTTTTCTGCAATTGTCTACCCTCACTTTGGACCCAATTCCCATGGTCTTTATTTTCAGACCATTCTTTTTATCTTCTCCTCAGTGGTTATTTTGATTTATCTAATTATTTTTAGGAGATTGTTCTCGCCTTAATTCTCCTTTTTCTGTTCTCTCTCTCAGATTCATCTTCAGTGGTCACAGTTCTTTCTTCTTTGCTTCTATTTCAGAGCATTCTGATATTTTATCCTAAGTAGTCAAGGTTTCAGATTTGACTGAGCAGATACTTTGCAATTTCATTAGAGCTTCTCAATGGGGCAATATTAGGTGGAATTCATAATTCTTGCTACTAAGACATAAGTGTACATTTGAGTACTTTAGGCCTACATGTGTAATTCTGACCAAAGTAAAGGAATCTCTGGAACTTCCTTCTCACTGTCCTTGGATCTTGCCAGTCTTCTACCATCCTGCAACAACTTTGAATTAACTTTCATTATGGGCTTGATTTCTCTTCATGTCTGGTGATAATAAAGTACATTTCAAGTCATATTAAACTTACATAGATTGTATGGGGACATTATTCATGTCTGTTGCTTTTAGCTAGTTATATGTTTCTAGCTTTTAGCATGTTATATATTTTATTGCTTGGGGAAAATTATTTTTTGCCTAGTCTTTTTAATCTTTCTGGCATCGATTTCTCTTTTAGTTTAAGAGTAGCAAAACAGCCTCTGTATTCAGAGCATTGTGCCTGTGATTGCTAATATAATGAGTTTAGTTTATGGAAACGGTTCCAAAGTAGCATACAAAGCAATCAGCTGGATACACGAGAGCGTCAAAAAATATGACTCCTTTGTCTCCTAGGCTAACCAAAAACAGCTATGTGGAGCCTGGAATTTCCATAGCAATTCCATAGCAATTTGATTTGATAACTTTCTGACACGTCATCATTTATATTTCAAATAATTCTCTATGTTAATTAGTTGACAGTCACAATATCTCTAGTGCACATGTTATGGTCCACAGAGTAATGTCATGGATTTTATTTTCTTCCAACAGCTTATTATGAAAAAGTCAAACCTACAAAAGAGTTGAAAGAAGAGTATAATGAACTTTCTTTAACCCTATGTCTAGATGCAATAATGTTATTTTGCTATATTTGCTTATTTATGTATGTATACCTACGTGTGTGTTTGTGTGTATTTTTGAACTGTTTTATATATTTGATTTTATTATTATTTTTTAAAGATTTTATTTATTTGACAGGGAGAGACACAGCAAGAGAGAGAACACAAGCAGAGGGAGTGGGAGAGGGAGAAGCAGTCTCTCCGCTGGCAGGGAGCCTGATGCGGGGCTCGATCCCAGGACCCTGGGATCATGACCTGAGCTGAAGGCAGATGCTTAACCAACGGAGCCACCCAGACGCCCCTATTTTTTTTTTTTTAAGATTTATTTATTTAGAGAGAGTGAGCAGGGGGAGGGGCAGAGGAAGAGGGAGAGAGAATCTCAAGCAGACTCCACACTGAGCGCAGAGCCCAATGCAGGGCTTGATCTCATGACTGAGATCATGACCTGAGCCAAAATCAAGAGTCAAATGCTTAACTGACTGACCCACCCAAGTGCCCCTTGAATTAGTTTAAAGTGGAAGATATGAAACTTTGTGCTGAAATCTTTCAGAATACATTTCCTACCAATAAGCATATTCTCTGATAACAACATTTTAAAAATTACTTTATGATTCCTTATTCATAAATGTGGTTAAATTATTATCATCAGTTTCCTTTCTACTTCTGATATCCACTGTCCTTAAATTACATCTAATGAAGAGAACTCAGAATTAGATACCCTATATTTCAAATTAATTTTAGTTCTTATTTACTATGCTGTGACTGGACGGAAGATTTTCTTTTTTCCCTTTCAGAAAGAAAAAGATAGTAGCTTCTCTAATCATACAAAATTGTGCTTGCTTTTTATTGTGGGTCAGATTCCAGAATAGATTTTTTAGGTGAGTTGTGAGCATTTAGATAAGGAAGAGGTGATCACCAATATAACTGGAAACCAGTATTCTTACTTTATTTCCTAGTATTTTATTGTATCAGGGAAATGCAGTAAACACTTGGTCTCCCCTGAAGTGATTGTCATATATAACACTTGTAGTTCGAGTGGAGAGCAGTATAACTCAGAGGGAGTTTTCCGATGGGTGAAGATATTTATGATTTGACCTTTTATGGAAAAAATTTGCCCATCCTTTATCTAGAATCTTATTCTATTATGTTAGTTTGTATGTGTGACTATATCTAAATCTATGTGAAAAGGGCAATTAAAAAATTGTTGAATAATTTTTAGGCACTTGGATATGTTCAAGAATTACTATAATGGGGGCTCCTGGCTGGCTCAGTTGGTGGAGTGTGTGACTCTTGATCTTGGGCTTTTGGGTTTGAGCCCCACATTGGGTGTAGAGATTATTTAAAAATAAAACCTTAAAAAAAAAAAAACTAGTGTAATGAATTTCTCTGGGTGAAATAGTATAACTTTTGGATGACTTTAAAACAGACCTTAAAAGATATGCAGTCACAATTGAAATTTTGAAAATAATTTTAAGGTTAAGGTTTATGTTGGTTCATTGTCCTCAAGTTCAGATAGCAGTGATCTGGGAATCAAACTCTGGGCCTTGTTTCTGACTTATTGACTCACTGGGTTACAGTTTAATGGTTTTTTTTTTTTAATAGTTAATTAAATACATTTAGAACTCTTTGGAAAGTAAGCATCTGAAAAGTATGAAAGCATTTCTGAATCACGTTTACGTGTATTAGGTACCTTTATATGCAGGTTGTAATGCGGAATGTTACATAGTAAGGATGGAGAATAACAAAGACATTGTGTTTAGTTTTTCATAAAGGGTTTGAGATGTTTTTCATATACTTTTATATGTATATTTTAACTTTTCTACCTAAGCTTCTTGAGACTGTATTTGGACCGTATAACCTAGATATTTCTTAAATTTAATGTGAGCAGATACACTTAACACCATGATATTTGCTGAATATTTTAATGGCCATTCTTTATTGGCAGTAATATCTCAAGTAGTTGACCAGAGCCTTTATGTTCATTTAATTCTACTTTGTAGTTCTACTTTTCTTGTGATTTTTCTGGACTATCACAATGTGAGGATCAACTGTGTTTACTGAAATTCGGATTGTGTCATGTGGGGATCTGTTTCAAGTTTGGAAGTCCCTTAAGAAGTCTGACGCATCTCTCCCTCTTTCCTCAGCTTGCAGCCGTTTGTGATGTATTTGTGGAAAACTACGTCCCTGGCAAACTGTCTGCTGTGGGCCTGGGATATGAAGATATAGACAAGATTGCGCCTCACATCGTCTACTGTTCCATCACAGGTATTTCGACCCCACACCCTGGTCAGTGAGTAGATTTTCCAGTTATTGGGTTTCTTTGTCCATGTAAGAAACCTCTTGCTAGTGTTGGTTTTCTTGAAGTGATTCTGTTCTCCCTAGCCCTCACCTTTCAATTAATCATTAAAGAATATTAACTGAAATGAAGATTTTTTCCTGTATTTATTGACTGTTTGTATTTCTTTTTTTTTTTTTTTAAAGATTTCATTTATTTATTTGAAAGAGAGAGACATAGCGAGAGAGGGAACATGAGCAGGGGGTAGTGGGAGAGGGAGAAGCAGGCCTCCCGCTGAGCAGGGAGCCCGATTCGGGTATCGATCCTAGGACCCTGGGATCATGACCTGAGCCAAAGGCAGATGCCCAACAACTGAGCCACCAAGGCGCCCCTTGGCTATTTGTATTTCTTCTTGAATTGTATGCCTATAGCTTTTTGCCAGCTTTTCTATTGATATTTTACAGACATTTATAAAGTACTGTTAATTCATACGTAGAATTGTAGGTGCAATATTAGTTGGCTTTTGGGTAGCACAGGAAATCAACATATCCCTTTAATTTATTCAAAAGTGTTAAGCCCCAGGTGAAGGAAAAGAGTGCTATAAAGTCCTCCAGATTGTTTAGCTAGGGACTGTTGTGGGTGTTTGTGTGTGTGTGTGTGTGTGTGTGTGTGTGTGTGTGTGTATTTAGGTCCAAGGAAAAAAGGTTATCATATTAGTTAAACATATTTTTAAGCACTTAACTATTAATTAGGGATGCAATATAGAAAAGTGGCTCTGAAAATTCTGAGTTACATTAATAGTTTTTATCAGAAAAATTCCTAATATTTGCAGTCTTTATTTACTCATCTACCAAATATTTACAGCAGGCCTATGATTTGCCAGGCAATATTCTAAGGTTCTGGGATGTGGCAGTGAATAGTACATATTTATGCTCTCATGGAGGTTTGCATTATAGGTTAGGGAGATAGACAGTAAATAAATGAGCATCTTCTTTAGTTTTTTTGTAATTGAGGCTGGTAGTGATAAGGGCTAAAGAGAAATAAAGTAGGGCAAGAGGGATAGGGTTAGGAGGAGCTATTTTATACTTGGAGATAAGAGAAGGCTCCCTTGGGGGCACCTGGGGAGCTCAGTTGGTTAAGCACCTGCCTTTCACTCAGGTCATGATCTGGGGTCCTGGATCGAGTTCCGTGTTGAGCTCCATGCTCAGCAGGGAGCCTGCTTCTCCCTTTCCTTCTGCCCCTTCTCCCTCATGCTTTTTTCCTCTCTCTCAAATGAATAAAAAAAAAAAAAAAGAAAAGACTCCCTTGATAAGGTGACATTTGAGCAGAGACCTGGAAGAAGCAAAGGAGTGAATCATGTAGATATTGGCAAAGATGGCTTCAGGAAGGAGAAACAGCAAGTGCAAAGGACCTAAGGCAGGAATGTGCTGGGCATATTTGAGGACCATCAAGGGTGGCTGAAGCAGAGTGAGCCAAGGGGAATGTAACAGGAAGAAAAACAGAGAGATGTTGGTTAGCAAGATCATGAAGAGCTTGTTGGAAACTCTTAAGGAATTTGGCTTTTACTTTGAATAAGTTTGTAAGTTAATAGAGTGTTTTGAACAGAAGAATGATATGAACTGACATATTTTTAAAAGGATCACTTTAGCTACTGTGTTGAGAATAGACTGTAGAGGACAAGGGTAGAAGTGGAAGAACAATTGTGAAGCTATTGAACTACTCCAGGCTAGAGATGCTGGTGGCTTGAATTAGGGTAGGAGTGGTTGAGGTGGTTGAGGAGCAATAGGATTAAAACTGTTTCTTTATTAGTCATGAAGTAATAATAACCAAAATACTCCTGTTTCTCTGCATTCAGGTTAATTGAGATATAATAGTACTTTGACTATGACATATTACTTTAGTATAAATAATGCTTTTCACAGTATAATTATGTAGTGCTTTTTTATATAAATTAAGCTATAACTGCAATGTTTGGTTGGTATTATTTTAGAGAGAATGATGAGCCCAATGATCATTAACTTCTATACTGAATCAGCATGAGAGACAGGGTCTGTACATAGTAGATGACTCTTTGCTGCTAATTCTGACTCTTTCTTAGATGTACTATTTTATAGATACGTAATCACACTTCAGTTTTTATGTGTATATATCAATATTTATATGTGTCAGAGAGAGGGAAAGATTCTTCCTTAAAAATCTCACAGTCCAGTGGAAATGTGGAGGTCTAAATTACTAAAATAGGGAAAATATTATGTTCAAATTACCTTGTTATCATAAAAATGCTACATAACTAGCAAATGTGAAATCTTCTATGACAGTAAGTGTTTATTTCTCATTCCCATGAATTTGCATTGGCTGAGGTTCAGCTGATCCAGACTGATCAGATTCCAAGTTTCGGGTTGGGGTCCTGGTGTGCTCTACCTGTCTCTCATACTCCTTGGACCTGTGGCTACCAAATGCATGTTTTCTTTATAGTGAAAGGCAAGAGTACAAGAGAATGAGCCTAACCTCACAAGCACGTTTAAAGCATTAGCTCACATCCCATTTGCTTACATTCCTTTGGTCAAGGCAAGTCACTCAACCAAGCCCAATACCAATGCATGGTGAAATATATTCTACTCTCGTGGCAGGAACTACAGAGTTACATGGCAAAGTGTAGATTTCAAGAGGGGTAAAGATTAGGAATAATAATGTATTTTATCACATCCTCCAGCCAAACAAAATGCTAATCTACTTGAGGGGCACCTGGGTGGCTCAGTCGGTTAAGCATCTGACTTCAGCTCAGGTCATGATATCAGGGTCCTGGGATGGAGCTCCACATCGGGCTGCTGGCTCCGCACTTGGCGGGGAGTCTGCTTTTCCTCTCCCTCTGCCCCTTCCCCTGCTTCTGTGCTCTGTCTCTCGAATAAATAAATAAAATCTAAAAAAAAAAAAAAGCTACTCCACTTGGGAAGCCTCACAGTTCCCAAAGTTTCACATCTATCACTGACTATAGTTAGAGCCAAAGTTCTTCTGGGTCTTGGCTTGTGGTTAGAGAATCTCTGAGTTTTCTTCCAGTTCTCAGATCCCATATTAACATTTAAGGGTGTCAAAGGGCCTTGTAGATAGATTGTATAATGCAGAAGTTCTCAGCTATGGGGAGAGTGGGGATTTGATATGCTTTTCAGTGATAGGGTTGGGAGGAATAAGGAGATGATGGGGAGAGGCCTTTGCAGTCTGAACAAGCACCTTCCATAATTCTGTAATCCTCTACACCCCCATCTCCTGACAATCATGAGAAAAACATCCATACAGTTCTTTCTTTATTTCCTGATAAGGAAATAGGTTCAGAATGTCCAAGGGCACAGCTATTTAATGCCAGACGGCTTTAAAACTCAGGCCTCTTGACTAAATATTAAGTGCCTCTATGCTTTCCATATTTAGACATTTATCATTGTTATATGTTATATTGTTATAACATATTGTTACATGATGACAAGGACTTTGTGATTACAAGACACTGAACAGCTTGACTTGAGAATAGTATATTCTTGCTCTTCTCTCTCGTTTGTTGTTAATCATATTTACTCATCAGGGAGTCTAAATGTCAACAGAATCTTTGGAAGCAGAGGTCATTTATGAGTCATGAATTTGTGTGTATATAAAGTAAGGGCCACCTCTTTTGTAAAAGTTTGATATTCTTGGTAATCAGAGTTTGTTTTTGATATTTTTTAATAGGACTGATTAGATCAGTCTAAAGTTGCACATGTTATGATTGGGATCCTGGACTTTCCTGATGTTTCCCAGTGGCATTAGTGTTCTGTCAGTGCTGTCCAAGCCCAGAGAGTCTGTTCTCACTCACATGTTGGCCTTATTGCTGATGAGAGTAATCTTAGAATGGTTGGAAGATTTATTTTAATGCACTCTGACAGTTGTGTGGTTGAGATTGCCTCAGTCTGTGAAATCTGGTCTGCAGGACGAGAATGTTAGACTGATCACAAGGGAGGAAGGACCTGATTCTTTTTGTTAGCAAGGTCTTCTTATCATTTCAGAGTATGAACATTAGGGGGCAGTGTTTAAAAAGCTATAATTCACTAGGAATTACTTTTTGAGAAAACTTGTGTTTCCTCTGTACCAGTGGGTAGAGAAAATCTCGGAAAGGGTATATTTATATTTTTAAAGAAGTTTTGTTTTTTAAACTGACCATTCTCTACCTCTCTATACTTTTAGAAGTATAATGATATTCTCCATGGCGCTTTAATTTTAAGTTGTGCCTTCTTTCCTTTGTTTCTTCTGAGCATGTTATTAATTATAAAAACTTAGCAGTAAAAATCCTCTCTACCACATTTTAAAATATTTACTTTTTTCTTATTAACTTCATTACTCCTTTTTTCCTAGAAGGATAAACATTGCATTATATTATTGATTAGACTAATTTTGTGGAAGGAACATTGTGTATGCCCTTTAATAATTTGTTGGGGGTTGGGAAAGGGCTTTGCAAAGTACCTTTCTGATTTTTGTGAATTCCCCAAAGGCATTTTCTTAATCTCTGTCCTTGTATGGACAGATTACAGGATTCTGCTTGAGGATAGGTCCTCAAGAGGGACCTCAGAACTCATATCAAAGAGAATATTTTAGAGACTTAGACCCATTCTTTAGTTTTAAATAGAAAAAAGTCTGAGAGCTCTACTTATGAGCTAAGAATAGCTAAGATAGTTTTAAGGAAGAACCTGGTAGGCACATTTGCCCTGTTAGATATAAAGACTGATGCAACCTGTAGTAATAAGACGGTGTGGTATTAGTACGAGGATAAAGAAATACATCGATGGAACAGAATAGAGAGCTCAATCATGCTGGCATATGTATGGAAATCTGTTTTTTTAGGGCTTATACTCTAGATCATTAAAGAATAGAATATGCAATAATTGATGGTAGAACATTGGTTATCCTTATGGGGAAAGATAAAATTCATCTTGAGTTTATTCTGTGTAGTGACATAATGTTGATGTAA